GCCCGCCACGAGCTACACCGTATGCGCACGACGTGATCGAGCCAGACAGCCTTACGTGCCCTTTTTCGTTGATAACTCGTGCGTCACTGTGGAGGGTTGGTTGGAATGCTCATGATGCCGCGTATGCTTGCTCAAGTACCGAAGTTTTCGCTAATCGTGATCTGCTCTACGCCCACATTCGTCAGTGTTGTCAGCTACGCCACCCACGCTACTTTCGTGATATTTCGCCTGAAGGAAGAGGACCTCGAGGCGGCGGCGACCCGCAACCGCTCGCAAGGACGAGGCGAGAGAGCCAAAGGGCGACAAGACCGCTCTGGCTCAGTGGCTGCCTCCCGCGGTCGTGGAGGGAGACGCGGGCGACGTGGCGCGGCGGACCGCGGCAGTCGGCCCCCTCGGCGCCAGCCCGCGGCCGCTTCGGGCGCCGCCGCGGGCGGCGCCTCGGCGGAGGCGGTGGGGAACGCCAACGACGTGAAGATGGCGGTGGGCAAAGCGCGCGGCCTGCCGGACGACACACTCGAGAAGCTGCCCGCGATGACGCAGACCATGGTCGCGAAACTCATGCCCGTGCTGGTCAAGGCAGTGCTCGGCAACTCGTTCGTGATCAGGCAGATGCTGCCGGCCGCCTACCAGACGGTGATCTTGGAAGAGTCCTCGGACATTGCGAAGGCCGCCTTTCAAGCTGGGCGTGCTTACGCCACGAGGGCGGCGGCGATGCGCGAGGCGTGTAAGCTCGACAACTCCAAGCCGCTGCCAGAGGCAGAGATGGGTCCCGCTCACGTTCAGGCGTTCTTGGTCACGGCCGACGCACTGGGCAAAGCAGGGGAGAAGGTCGGAGTTCGGAACAAGGGACTGTGGGAGCAGCAGAAGACCAAGCTCGATCAGATCACCAGCATGACGGACATGAGCCTGCTGGTGCGCGGATTTCGTATCAGCCAGTGCTACAAAGAGGGCAACGCGAAGCTCCTGTTCGCGCTCGCGGACGTGGAGCTGACAAAGGTATTCACGGATTGCGTCGTCCAGCTGGGCGGCGAGATCAAAGCAGGAGTGGCCCCGAGATCCAACGTCGAGCGGATCTTGCAGCTGGCGATCGACGATTGGGAGGACTCGATGCTCTGACAGGTGCGACGGCGTCGATGACGGAGTTGCCCTCGCCTGGTGCGACGGCGTCAGTGGCGGGGTCAACTTTGACGGGTGCGACGGCGTCGGTGGCGTTGTCGCCTTCGACTGGTGCGACGGCATCGGTGGCGCTGACGACTCCGACTGGTGCGACGGCGTCGGTGTCGGGGTCAACTCGGCAGAACGTGGCTGCGACCCCTGGCGTGGGTCGGCTCCACACAGGGAGGGGATCGCATGCGCCGAGGGCCGCCTCTGAGAGCGAGGTCGAGAGCCAGGCACCGTCCCGACCTGCCGCTTCCCTTCTTCCTCCCCCCTCCGCCCCGAGGCAGTGCAGTTGTAAGGAGTTAGTTCGAATGGTCACTGGTGGACCCTCCAGGTAGTCTCGCTTTCGGGCTGTGGGACTCCTGGCCGAGTTGTGGATAGTTGGGCCGTCGTCCTTCCTGCTTCGGGTGTCTTAGTTGACGGGTTCTGGCCCTGGGGGCTCCGTCTACTAGGTGCTCGCTGCAGGGAGTGCGGTGTGCTCGAATTCGCCTCGTGTTCAGCCTTGGTCGAGCGATCAATCAATCGGGGCCCCCGCCGTGGGGGCCTGCACTCGCAGTTCTACTAGCGCACGGTAGGTCGCACAATTCGAAATTCATTTCGATTGTTGTCTTGTCGGAGTTACGCTCGACTCGGCCCGTTACCGCTTCGCCGCCGCCGCCTCCTGCTCCTCCTCCTTAACCCCCTGTCGTGCGGGTTGGCGCTGCAGCGCACGTGCGCATCTCAGCGCGCACCGCATAATGGTCTATTGAATCGGTCCACTTAGTTCTCGGACGGCCAATTTACCTGGAGCCTCTTGGACGCAGGCGGGAGGAGTTACGGTGATGCGGATGGACTCGGGAGGATTCGTAGATTCCAGCGGCGCTCCGTTGTCTAATTATCCCAGTGTGACCCTACCGAGGAGTTGGAACCCCTAGGAAAGCAGCATTAGTAGTAACAGTACCACCAAGCTAAAGCTAAGCTAAAGCTAAGCTAAAGCTAAGCTAAATCTAAGCTAAAGTTAAGCTAGAGCTAAGCTAAAGCTAAGCTGAGGCTAAGCTAAAGCTAAACTAAAGCTAAGCTAAAGCTAAGCTAGAGCTGAGCAGCAGCTGAGCTAAAGATAAGCTACAGCTAAGCTAAAGCTAAGCTAAAGCTAAGCTAAAGCTAAGCTAAAGCTAAACTAAAGCAAAGCTAAAGCCAAGCTACAGTTGAGCTAAAGCTAAACTAAAGCTAAGCTAAAGCTAAACTAAAGCTAAGCTGCAGCTAAGCTGCAGCTAAGCTCAAGCTAAGCTCAAGCTAAGCTCAAGCTAAGCTAAACGCTAAGCTAAACGCTAAGCGAACATCTAAGCGAAACGCGAAGCTAAAGCTAAGCTACAGCTAAGCTCAAGGTAAGCTAAAGCTAAAACTAAAGCTAAAGCTAAAGCTCCCTGGGGATTGGGGGGAACCGCTCCCAGGGGACTTGTGGAACCGCCCGGGGCGTGTTCCACTGCCCGGCCTTTTAAGCTAAGAGAGTAAGAACCCTTCTAGGCAGAGCCTAGGTCGGGAATTAAAAACTTGTTTTCCGTGGAATCCACAAGTGCTTGTCATAAGGATTTGTTCTAACATTCTATATACACCACTGGTGCTGTGTTGCACACGGTTGTTGTGGTGCACGCAGGCGCCGTGGTGCACACAGGCACTGCAATGCATGCAGGCATTGTGGTGTGCACTGGTGCTGTGGTGCGCACGGCCGATGTGGTGTACGCAAGCGCAGTGGTGTGCATAAGAGCTGTTGTGCCCGCAGGCACGGTGGCACAAAACTGACGCTGTGTTGCACGCGGTTGCTGTGGTGTACATAGGCGGCGTGGTGTGCACAGGCGCTGTGGTGCACGCAGGCATTGTGGTGTACACAGGCGTTGTGGTGCAAATCGCCACCTACATGCTGGCGTTACCCGTCCTCCGTCATTCCTAGGTATTCCCATACGCCACCCGGCGCGAAACGTGACGTCACCGACCCCTTCCACCCCCCCTAAATGATTGCCGTCGTCTGCCCGGAATCAAAACCAGGCTTCAGCCGCGCCAGCGCGCGCGACGACTATGAGCGACGAGCGACAAGCCACAGGCGACGACGACGACGATGACGACGACGACGATGACGACGACGACGACTGCGGACCAGACTCCTTTGCGGATTCCTATGCGGACACCCGCGCGGATCCCAATGCGCACGGCGGCAGTGCCCAGAGCACACTGGGGGGGAGCGTTACGTCATAGGGGTTGGGGGAGGGGGGGCTATGACGACCGTCGTACCCCAAACAATGAAAACAACTGTCTCCTTGTAGGTGTTGTAGGGACAGAGCACAAAGTTCAATCAGGTCATCAGCTCCATCGTTGCCGTCTCTGCTGCAGCGGTTGGTTTTGCTCCTCCCGCAGGTCCACGCTGCAGGCGCCCTGGCAGTAAGAGTGTGCTGGTGGTGTTGGCGTCGAGCCCCCTATCAAAACAGGGTTCCCTAGGTCGCACGAGGGGGCGCGAAAATATCCTCGCTTCTCGCATCGCGGTTTTGGCGGGATATCGTTGGAAGGGGCCCCTTTCTTTTGGGGTTGCGGCGCGACGGTGCAAGTCATAATCGTGCGTCGCGCATCGTTGGGGCGCGATGTGCGAAGTTGGGTGGGTCGGGTTCCACATAGAACAGGCGATTGAGATTACCCCGTCGCCCGATCTCAATGTTGAGCCAACCGTGGCCGACGGCTGAAAAATTGAATCGCGTCGCGCCCCCGTGCGAACATTGAAATTGAGTGGCGCGGGGAGACGGGCCACGCGCGAGAGCTGCGCTGCTTCTCTGGGGAAGTGCATATCGGCCTCCCAAGTGGGGTGGGAATGGACGGGGTCGGAAGATCGCCGATGCATCGGCGATGTGACTCGATGTGAAGCCCGATCTTCCCCACGCGGATGTCGCCGCTGCGCCGCTGACGTCGCCGATGCATCCGCGCGACCAACCTCTCTTCTCCGCGCAGCCCGCGGGCTTCTCGGCGCCGAGCTCGAGCGACTGGGCTTGCTACAACCCCGCGCACAGGGGACGGGCCCGCTCGAATCGGAGGAACACGGCGGCGGAGTCGACGCAGGGGGTTGGTGCCCGGCGGACGTCTACGTCCCCCGCTGGAGGGGCGACTTGCTGGTCGCTTCGGCGGCCGCGCCCAGGCTGCCGCGCAACGCCACGAAGAGCAACGCCGCGGCTTCTGCGACGCAGCGCGCGCTTACATCCCGCTGGCACCATCTTCGTCCGCGATGGAGGCGTACGGCGGCGGATGCGACAAAGAGGCATGCCTTCCTTCGGCCGTCCTGGCGAAGCGCGCGGGGGAGGCCGCGTGGGAAGAAACCCTGCCTCCCCGGCGGCGCAGCGCGCCCACAGACTTTCGCTTCTCCCCTTAAAACAAAAACAGGAAAACACGCGGGCCGTGCTGCGGAGGGCGCAGAGGCCGCGCGCGCGGGCAGCCAGGCTGGCCGCGGCGACGGCGGCGCGCGCGGCAGACGTTGCGTGAACCACCCGCTGTCGAGCCCAATGCGCCCCCAGCCGTGCCGCCGGCCTGTCCCTGGTGGTAGTGGTTCCTAGAAAAGGGACCCGTGGAAAATCGCCAGGGGCGAGATGGTCCCCCAAATGGCACCCCAACGGTGAGCTCTGGCGGCCATGAAGGGGACGCTCGGGTCGCAGCCGAGCCTCGGCCACCAGCGCCTCGCCAACCCCTTTTCTTCTTCTTCCTCCTCCTCTTCCTGCACTTCCCCCTCCTCCTGCTCCTCCTCCTCCTTCTCCTCTTTCTCCTCTTCCTCCTCCTCCTTGAATCCTTGTTCCAAGCGCTGGGCACTTCCCCCCCCTGGGCCGCTTGCGCAGGACCCGGGCGCCGCCGATGGTGGCGATGGGCGCGCCGGCCGCACGCCGGGCAGTCTGGAGGGCGACGCGCAGCTCGGCAGCCCGGGTGAGCGCTACGGGGGGATAGGCTCGGGGGCAACGCTAGGGATCGAGATGGCCTCAGGGGGGGACGAAGTCTCGAGGCTCGAGGCTGGAGGTTTTCGGGCGCTGCCGTCGGCCCTCGGCGGCCTCGGGGCGCCCTCCAGCGGCTGCGCCTCGCCGAGGGCGCTCCAGGGCGCGCGGGGCGTCCCGAGCGGCCAGAGCCGTGGCCCGAGAGCCACCGGGAAGGGGGGAGGGGCTCCGGGGCGGAGGCGCCGGCCCCCCGTCGCCCTCCGCGCCGCCGGGAAGGGGCCCCGCGGCCCGCCCTGCCAGGGAGCTCGCGGCTTCGCTGTCGGGGGCCACTCGCCGAGGTATGGGCGACGCATCGCCGATGCCACGTCGAGGTTCCCCCCCCGCTGAGATTCGAAGCAGGATTCGAAGCCGCCGTGTCATAGACATATTTTTCACTCGTCCTCCTCCCGCTGAAAACTTGTATAGATGTGAAGAAGCTCTTTGTTTCATCGTTCCCTCTGTTTTTTATCAATCGTCATCCTGCATTAGGCTGTCCCCCCCTAGCGTTGCCCCGCAGGCAGCATGTGGGACGGCCACCCAGCCAGGGCCGTCTTCGCGCGCCGCGTGCAGGCCCTGCCGTGCGCTTGTCGGGAGGGAGGCCCAGATCTCTGACGATTCGTTTTTTGCAATTCCGCGTTTTTTCCCTTGATTTCGGCCTCTGGAGGGCTCTTCAGGGCACTGGGGCCATCAACGAAGAATCGGGGAAGAAAACTACCCCCCTGGAGACCCTGGAGAGGGGCGTGAGCTTGACGCGCTCATGTTGTGAGCGAAATCGCGACGGCAGGTTTTAGGCCGATTGCAGCTGGGCCCAGGGGCCGTCAATAACAATTATCCTGGGGAAGGACCCAACCATATGCAGTTGTGAGTAACGCAGTAGTGAGTGTCGTCTTCGGCGGAGCTCCCTGTGAGGCCACGACGCGTATGATGGGTATGCCAAAATGGGCGCGGGTACGCCATGGGGGCGCTGCCATTTGGAGTCCTTCAGTGAAGCTTTATGGGGCCACAAACCGTGCGAGGGGTGCGCCGAATGGGGGGGTGGAACCGCATGCGAACGCTGCCGTTGGGAGCTTTGGTGGAGCCCCCTGTGCCCTATGGTGCCACGAAGCGTGTGAGAGGTGCGCAGAATTTGACGGAGGAACCGCATGCTGGCGCTGCCACTGGGGCTTGGGTGGAGCTCCTTGCGGGGCCACGAAAAGTGCGAGGGCTGCGCCGAATTTGGGGGGTTCAAACCGCGTGCGGGCCCTGCCACTGGGGCAGTCGGTGTAGCTCATGGGGCCACGAAGCGTGTGAGGGGTGTGCCGAAATGAGCGGGGAGACGCATTCGGATCCTGTTATTGGGGCCTTCGGTGGAGCTCCCATGGGGCCTCGAAGCGTGTGAGGGTATGTTGAAATGAACGGAGGTACGCATGCGGACCTTGCCATTGGGGCCTTCGGTGAGGCTCATTGTGGGGCCACGAACCGTGTGAGGGGTGTGCCGAACTGGGCGGAGAGACTCATGCGGACCCTTCCTCTGGGGCCTTCGGTGGAGCTCGCAATGCGGCCACGAAGCGCGTAAGGGGTGCCGAAATGGGCGGGGGGGACGCATGCGGGCCCTGCCACTGGGACCCTCGGTGGGGCCCCCTAGAGCGGCTCCTATGGGGCCACGAAGCGTGTAAGGGGTGTGCCGAAATGGGCAGGGGGACGCACGCGGACATTGCCATTGGGGCTTTCGGTGGAGCTCCCATGGGGCCACGAAGCGTGTGAGGGTATGTTGAAATGAACGGAGGTACGCATGCGGACCTTGCCATTGGGGCCTTCGAGGCTCACTGTGGGGCCACGAACTGTGTGAGGGGTGTGCCGAAATGGGCGGAGAGACTCATGCGGACCCTGCCACTGGGGCCTTCGATGGAGCTCCCAACGGGGCCACGAAGCGTGTGAGGGGTGTGCCGAAATGGGCGGGGGGACGCATGCGGACCCTGCCACTGGGGCCTTCGGTGGAGCTCCCAACGGGGCCACGAAGCGCGTGAGGGGTGTACCGAACTGAGCGGGGGGTATGCATGCGGACCCTGCCTCTGGGGCCGTCGGTGAGGCTCCTTGTGGGGCTACGAACCGTGCGAGGAGTGTTCCAAACTGGGCGGGTGGACGCATGCGGACCCTGCAACTGGGGCCTTCGGTGGATCTTCCTAGAGCGGCTTCTATGAGGCCACAAAGCGTGTGAGGGATGTGCCGAAATGGGCAGGGGGACGCATGCGGAACCTGCCATTGAGACCTTCGGTGGGGCCCCCTAGAGCGGTTCCTATGGGGCCACGAAGCGTGTGAGGGGTGTGCCGAAATGGGCGGGGTGGATGCATACGGACCTTGCCACTGGGCCATCCGGTGGAGCTCCCAACGGGGCCACGAAGCGTGTGAGAGTATGTTGAAGTGCACGGGGGACGCATGCGTACCCTGCCACCCGAGCCTTCGGTGAAGCTCCTTGTGAGGCCACGAACGGTGTGAGGGGTGTGCCGAAATGGGCGGGGGGACGCATACGGGCCCTGCCTCTGGGGCCTTCGGTGAAGCATTCTATGTGGCCACGAAGCGCGTGAGGGGTGTGCCGAAATATTGCACATGTGGAGAGCAGATGCATGATGCTGACGATGGCTATACTAATTATGATGATGCTGATGCTGATGATGCTCATGATGATGATGATGATGATGCTGATGATGATGATGATGATGATGATGATGTTGATGCTGCTGATGATGATTGTTTTGCTGCTGATGATGCTGATGATGCTGATGATGCTGATGATGATGCTGCTGCTGCTGATGATGTTGATGATGATGCTGATGCTGATGCTGATGCTATTCCGATGATGATGATGATGATACTGATTCTGCTGCTGTTGATGATGATTGTTATGATGATGCTGCTGCTGATGACGATGATGATGAGGATGATGAGCATGATGAGGATGACGATGATGATGCTGCTGACGATGATGATGATGACGATGATGATGATGATGATGATGATGGTGGTGATGATGATGATAATGATGATGATGATGAGGATGATGACGATTATGCTGATGATGGCGATGATGATGATGTTGATTATGATGATGTTGCTGATGATGATGATGATGCTGATGATGATGTTGATGCTGATGATGATGACGATGATGATGATGATGATGATGGTGATGGTGATGGTGATGGTGATGGTGATGGTGATGGTGATGATGATGCTGATGATGATGATGATGATAATGATGATGATGACGATGACGATGATGATGCTGATGATGATGATGGTGATGATGGTGATGATGATGATGATGATGCTGCTGCTGCTGCTGATGATGATGCTGATGATGATGATGATGATGATGATGATGATGATGATGATGATGATGATGATGATGATGATGATGATGCGGATGATGGCGATGGCGACGATGATGACGACGGTCATGACGATGATAAAGACGATGACGACGAGGACGCGGAATGGGAGGAGGGAGGAGGGGGAGGAGTGAGTGAGGAGTGAGTGGACGCGGGGCGCTGTCTCTGCTAAACGAGGACCCAGCAGCACGGGATTTCCTGGATGGAAGAAGATGGAACACCATGGTCCCAGGGAAGGGGTCGATACCTCCAGGGGTCCGCGTTGTGAAAAAGACACGGCCTCGGTTGCCCTGGGAGGGGTAGTGCCGGCGTCACCCAAGCACACTGATACTGCTTGTGCTTCGCCCACAAAGGTGCGACGCGCGCGCCGAGAGGTCTTGTAGTATATGCTTCGTGGCGAGGTTTTCTAAGCCGTGCCGCCCAGGAAACGAGATACTGCACGATGTTGTACTAGATGTTCGGGTGGGACGCGCGTCTTCAACAGAGGCACACGCTCTTGTGCGCCCCACATTGAGTCGCCACGGAGCAACCGAGTCCTCGAGGGCAGTGGGTCCTGAGGTCTGTCGCTGTTTCTGGCCCCCCTGGGCCGTCCACGAGCCCCGGGGATGGTCCAGAAACGATTCGGGACGGAAAGTTAGGTCCTTGGGGGAGGCCCTGGGGCCCTTGACCCCCTCAGGACCTGTTTGCTTCATGCCAGAAGTACCAATGACGCGCGCGCGTCGTTTTTGGAGTTTTGCGTGTTATTCATCCGATTTTGTACAAGAGCCTGGTGCTTCTTCACCAGTTGCCCGCTGGTGTGTGCAACACATGTTTTGCTCGGCCAGAGAGCCAAGGATTTCGGCGGAGGACTTCGGTGCATAGACATTCCAGCGTCCCGCATGTTCGGAAGCTGGGGCGTATATGCATCGAGCTCTGTGGCCGACTCGACGACTTGGTGTATACTTCGAGCGCCTCCCACGCGCGTCGGGTATTGCCACTGGTGGCCCTGGCCCAGGGTTGGCCATGAAGGGGCCGGGTCTATGGAGTTGTGTCCTGGAGAAGCGACGGTCACGCCCGAAAGGGTTGGTTGGGACGACGTCTTCCTTAGACAAGTCACGCCCGAAAGGGTTGGTTGGATTGCGTTGCGCAGGCCTTGTCTTGTACATGGTTTAGGACCGCTGTGCCAGGCATTCTTCGCACGCTAGTATGCTAATGCAAGCTGTGCACGTGCTCCGAGGCTGGTCCGTAGTGCCCAGGAGACGCTTCCACCGGGGCCCCGGACCCCTTTCCTGCATGCAAGCCGGTGCCCCGCAGCTCCTCCAGGGAGACCCAGTCGGCCTCCCGAGCACCCCTCACGAGGCCCAGGGGGCCTCGTGAGGGGACGCCCAGGGCCAGAACCGCCTCTGGCCCACCCAGAAACTGCTGGCGGCATGGGCATGAACCTTCGGAGGTCCGCGCAGATCTCTTGGATCGGCGTTTGCAATCCCCTCCCCTGGCGCGCCGAGCGCCCGAGGCGCAGTGCCGGAGGCGCCGCCAGGGGGAGTCAGCCGCGACCGCGCGGACTTTCGAAAGTTTATGCTTACGTGCAGTGTCTGCCATTCTGCCATGCCCTCCTCGTCAACGGCAGTGGGCGGCGCGCCAGGAGGGGAAGGCAAGGGCTCCCACGAGGGCGCGAAGTTATTCGCGCCTCGGGCTTCGCGGTCCTCGTTCCTTCTCCCCCTCCTCCTCGTCCTCCTTTTTTCCCTTTGGGAGCCCTAGGGAAATGAGAGGGGGCAGGCCTTCTCAGAGGGCGGCGGGGCCTCGGAGAAGGTCCAGACAAAACGCTCCTCGGAAGGCCCGAGTCCGTCCGAGCCTTCCGAGGAGGCCGGCCCCTCTGCCGCGCCGCCAGGGCAAGCCCCGAGCCCCACCCCGCCGTCCGTCGATGTGGAACAGGGCCCACCGGAGAGGGCTCGCTTCGCTCGCGCCCGCCTCGCGGCGGCGGAGTCCCCACGGCCGTGTCCCGGGGGAGCCCCCGGGCTTGCGGCCCTCGGGTCGTGGCCTGGAGAGGGTGTCGGGAGCAGCGTCCCGGGGGGAGAGGCTCGGGGTGGGGGATGCATCGACCCCCAAGCGCCTAACCCCAGGAAGCATTTAAGAACCCCCCCCCCCTTCTGGCAAATCGATAACCCTTCCGCACCCTGGAAGCGTTACCTGGCACCAGGAGCCCTCCTCCTCCTCCTCCTCCTCATCCTCCTCCTCCTCCTCCTCCTCCTCCTCCTCTCCTCCACCCACGAACTTCCTCCTGCCCCCTCCTCCTCCTCCTCCTCCTCCTCCTCCTCCTCCTCCTCCTCCTCCTCCTCCCGCGCCCCCCTCCTTTTCCAAGCAGCAAGCGACATCCTGAGTCTTTCATGAGAGCCACGCAGATTTGAATTTCGAATTTCGATTGTAGCCCAGGGGCCAGGCCTCCGCGAATTTGTTGTGTGTCCGGGTGCTAAACCTATCGTGCGGTTATTTCGGCCCCTCGGAATATCGAATTAAAATGCGGTGCTAAGATATCGCCAGGGGGTTTCTTAAATGCTTCCTGGGGTTATGCACCGCCGACAGGGGCCGGACATCCCACCAACCCCAGGACCGTATCAGGGCCCCAGAGCGCGTGGTTTCATCCCACAGCGATAGCGGGCGTGACCAGGGGAGGGGGAATAGGGGGTGAGGGGCCTCGTCAAGTTGCGATTCTTGCCGGCGCCGTCTGGGGATGCCAAAGATGGCTCATATCCAGACGGCGTGACCAGGGGTGGGGCGGGACCTGTCACTGGCGTCAGCGCGACAAATTTACAAACGGGTTCCTATCGCCGATGTATCGACGATGTATCGCCGATTCCAGATCGGCGTTCCCCCCTCCCTGAGCAGTCCCCCCGTGATGTTGCCTGTGAACGGGGGAGGCGGCAGCGTCAGTTGGACAGGCCGCGGTCTTGCCCACGTGCCCCTGCGGCGCCGCGACGCGGGCATCCGAGGAGCCCGAGCCGCACCCCGAAGCCTGCCTCCCTGAGCGGCCCCACGTCTTGAAAGAGTCCCAGCGACGTGAGAGCGAGCTCCGTGGCCATTTTGGCGCAAGCCCCTTTGACTCAAGTTTGGCCAAAGTCTTGCGCAAGATTTGCGCTGTCCGATTTTGCCGTTGCGCAATTCTCGCCCCAATTGCCAGGGGCGCCCCCTTTCTGGGACAGATCACGCGACCATGCCGGAGCTCGTGTCGATCGTGAAAACCCCCAAGGAGGCCTTCATGGGTATGGTAGACAAAGGCGTGTCGATGGGCGGCGGCTCGTCCTTCAAGATCTTCCACCAGTCTTTCTACGCGGGTTGCTACATAGGCTTCGGGGGCATGCTGTCGATGGTGGTGGCTGGCGGCCTCGACAGCGCAGCCCAGGACAACCCTACCATCCAGACATTCGTATTCGCTGCACTTTCCGCTGTGAATCTGCTGATCATCCTCCTCACAGGTGGGGTGCTGATCCAGGTACAGCGGCGACCGTGCCTGCCGCGGTGTTTGAAGGCAAGCTGCACCGGATGCAGATCCTGAGCACGTTTCGTTGGCTTGGATTGGCAATCTGCTGGGGGCCTTGCTCTTTGCTGGCTTTGTCATGGCCTGTAACTTGAATGTTGGCCTGACCGCCAAGCTTGCGATCAAGGTGGCGGAGAAGAAGGTCAAGGAGAACTTCCTGATCACCTTCCTCAGAGCAATCGGCTGCAATTGGCTGGTGTGCATGGCTGTGTTCCTGCAGGGCCAGTCGCAAGACATGGTTGGCAAGATGGTAGAAATCAGGTTCCCGATCTCTTGCTTCGTGGCCATCGGCTTCGAGCATATCCCAGCCAACATGTTCATGATCCCCATGGGGATGATGGCTGGCGCCGACGTGTCAGTGCTGGATTGTCTCTGGAGGAAATTCATCCCCGTGACTCGGTAACATCTTCGCAGGTTCCATCTTTGTGGGCGGTGGCTACTCTTTCGCCTTCGGCCGGCTGGGCAGTTCGCCAGTTTTCAATATGCCCACGGAGAAGCAGGGTTCGCCGAAGGAGCAGCAATCCACGCGCGATGCGAGCGAGATTTCACTTGAGGTTCTGGACGCATGACTCCGCAGTTTCGCTCAGGGGCCTCAGCGTATTTTTTTTGCCTATTGCAGCTATTACGAATTCAAAGCAAAGGCTTTAGTTGTCACCCGCGACGCACAATTTTCAGATCGTGCGGCGTAATTTTTACAGTAGATATGTTTGATCGTGCGTCGTACACAACTCGGCATGGAAGCTGGGCAGTCTCAGCATCCCAATCGATTTTTCAGTCGCAGCCTGAGCCTTCGCTTTCTTTCCCCCCTGCAGCGAAGTCTGTGGGTCAGGGTAAACCTGGTCAAGCTACTTCTCACGGTCATTACCAACGAAAACCAGTCATGCTGTGAGGTCAACCATGTCAGCCAGCGCATTGGCCGCATGTTCGAATCATCGTGTGCCCGTCCCCCAACAAAAATTGCGCTACTCTTCCGTGGTGATAGCTGAGCGGAACTTGCGAGCACGTTGATCGCGGCCGTTGTTTCGCCCAGTGCGCACCCTCTCTGGTGTCGAGAAAGTGCCACCCCTGCCACGCGTTCCGACCCTGGCACGTATAGAGGCCGCTCTGAGGGACCATCCCCTACGCACCCTCTCTGGTGTCGAGAAAGTGCCACCCCTGCCACGCTTTCTGACCATGGCACGCATGGAAGCCGCGCTGAGGGACCACCCCCTGCGGACCCCCTTCTGGTGTCGAGAAAGTGCCACCCCTGCCACGCGTTCCGACCCTGGCACGCACAGAGGCCGCGCTGGGGGACCACCCCCTGCGCACCCCCTCTGGTGTCGAGAAAGTGCCACCCCTGCCACGCTTTACGACCCTGGCACGCATAGAGGCCGCGCTAAGGGACCCCGCCCTGCGGACCCCCTCTGGTGTCGAGAAAGTGCTACGCCTGCTGCGCTGTGCTGAGCTGGTCTGTGGTGTGCAGTGCTGTGCTGTGCTGCGCTGTGCTGTGCTGAGGTGCTATGCTGTGCTGTGCAGTGCTGTGCTGAGCTGAGCTGTGCTCAGCAGTGCTGTGCTGTGCTGTGCTATGCTGCGCTGTGTGAGAAGGAGGAGGAGGAGGATGAGGAGGAGGAGGAGCAGGAGGAGGAGGAGGAGGAGGAGGAGGAGGAGGAGGAGGAGGAGGAGGCGGGGAGGTGAGGTGAGGGTCGCGGGTGCGACGCGGCAGGGATGAAAACCAGAACCTCACGAACCATGTGGGGCAAAACAGCAACGACGTGAGAGCGAGCACAATCACAGATCCCGGCCCACGTCCGCTCGGGCTCGGGGTGAATGGCTGGGGCCGCAGTGTTTTCTCGTGGCCAGCCAGGGCGGCATCTATAGATGTTGACAAGCCTGTGATTCGAGCGTGACGATCCCTACTTGTGGCCCAAATGGGCCCCAGACGGCACTGTGGAGCATGACGCTCCCTACCGCAGAGTCGATCCGATCCTCTCGGGCTCCAGGCCTCCCCCTCCGCCCCCCCCCTGGCGGCGCCTCCAATGCCGCCCCCCGCCCCTACTCGCGCGCCGTGCATCCGATGGCACCCAGGCCTCGCTTCACGTCGCGGGTGGAGCTTCTGACTCTCAGACCGGGTTTATACATGTCCACCGCCTGGGAGGCCGATCTTTCTGGGACTCCCTGGGGGAGGTGGGTGTGGATCGTGCATACACATGCGTAATCACACACACATATATATGGTATGCGTGCACACTCATAGACACATATCTGTATAGACATGCATACATATGTCTACTACATTTTACCCTCATGAACCTATCCATATCTATGCACCAGGAATTGGGTCCCAGGAAAATCCGAACCCTGTGGGCAGCGGATATGGATAAAGCCCCGCATCGCAAAGACGGGCCCAGAGCCCGGGAACGGCCCACGGATTTCGAAGCGCGACGCCATGGAGGTCTGGGTCGACCCATGCATGCATTGTTTCAAGGCCACACCCACAATCTTCAGGACGCCACGTTGACTGGTGTTCCGAGCTGCGTCCAGCCGTAGTGACGAAGAACCCTTGGGAAGTCCATGGCGGCGCACACCGTGATCACTTTTTTTCGTCCTCCCGGGAGGTCTCCAGGGTTCCCTCCAAAACGTGCCCAGAGCCTGCAAAAGGCACCAGGGACCTGTGGGAAGGCTCCCTCCCCTCCGCTCGGGGGGCGCCAGCCGTGCGCCTGCACCCCTCCTGGGGCCCGGGATCGGCGCAGCCTGGGTCGGTGCAGGTGCATCGTCGGCGCCCTGCCGCCCGCGTCCGCCGCGCATTCCGCCGCCTCCGCCCCATCCGCCGCACGCCCTCCGTTGTTGCGGGCGGCTCCGAGTGCCGCGCCCGCCTCCGTTGCCGCGGGCGGCCGGGGCCCAGGGCCTCTGGAGATCCTGAGGTGTGGAGCCCAACAAAAGATTCTTTCGCCTCCTGCATGTCCTTGTCCGTCCTGCGTCATCCTCCTCCTCCTCCTCCTGCTCCTCCTCCTCCTCTTCCTCCTCCTCCTCCTCCTCCTCCTCCTCCTCCTCCTCCTCCTCCTCCTCCTCCTCCTTCCTCCTCTCCCCCTCTCTCCCTCCTCCTCCTCCTCCTCCCCCTCCTCCTCCTCCTCCTCCTCCCCTCCCTCCTCCTCCTCCTCGTCCTCCTCCTCCTCCTCCTCCTCCCCTCCGTCCTGCATCATCCCTCCTCCTCTCCTCCCTGCTTCTTCCTCTCCTCCTCTTCGTGCTCCTCCTCCTCCTCCTCCTCTCCTCCTCCTCCTCCTCCTCCTCCTCCTCCTCTACTCTTCTCCTCCTCCTCCTCTCCCCTCCTACCTCTTTCTCCTCCTCCTCCTCACTCCTCCTCCTCCTCCTCCTCCTCCTCCTCCTCCTCGCTCCTCCTCCTCCTCCTCCTCCCCCTCCCCTCCCCCTCCCCCTCCCCTCCTCCTCTCTCCTCCTCCCCTCCTCCTCCTCCCTCCTCCTCCTCCTCCTCCTCCTCCTCCTCCTCCTCCTCCCTCCTCCTCCTCCTCGCTCCCCCTCCCCTCCCCTTCTCCTCCCCCTCCTTTTTCTCCTCCCCTGCCCCCTCCCTCCTTTCCCTCCTCCTCCCCCTCCCCCTCCCCTCTTCCCCCCTTCCTCCCTTCCCTTCCTCTCCCCCCCCCTCCTTCCCCAACTTCCCCCCTCCGACGTCGAAGCCGAGGGCTTGTCGAGGGGCCTGCCGAGGGGCCTGCGGGGTGGGGATGAGGAGGAGGAGGGACGGGGAGGCAGGGAGGGGGGGGAGGAGGATGGAGGGGGGAACTCTGGGATCTGACGCCGCGAGAAAAATGAGACATCAAATTCTCGACTGGAGCCCTGGACCCAGACTTCTTCGACACTTCTCGAGCGGGATCGATCTGTGAGGGCCTCCTGGGCCCGAAACATGGCGACATCATGCAGCGCGGCATGAATGAGACACCAGGGTCTCTTGGACGGAGCATAACGGTGTCCCCCGCAGTCCCAATCCTCCCCAGGGGCGGGTGTTCATCCAGAGTTGCTTTTTGACGGTCCGGGGGCCTGGCGAGGGGCCCCCAGAGGCGAACAACGGCCAACACAAGTCCCGTCGTGCTTTTTTACGACGCGAGCAGGGCTGGGCGAACCATACAGCCGTGGCCGTGGCCTTGCGGGCCGGGCCCCTGGGCCGCGGCCCTGCGGATACGGGGCATTTTTGTTGCGGATGCCCCACGCATAGCGTACCCGTGCGGCCGGCTATACGCGAGATCGCGCCCCAGAATCCACACCTCGAGGGCGTGGATGCGGATCGGGCGGGTGGGGGGTGACAGCGAGAGCCCCAAAGGGGCCCATTGGGCCTCATTCGGAACCAATAGGGGCCCTGTCCTTCACCTCCCGTTTTGCGGCGGCGAGCCCAGGGGGGGGCAGTGAGAAGGAGAAGGCCGTCGCAGAAGACTCGGACGTGCCCCGGCCTTCTGAGAAGTCTTCTAAGCCTTCCCCGAGGACACCGAAGACTTCTCGGAAGGCGCAAGGGCTTATGAGAAGTTCCGCCGCCTTCTGAGAAGTCCTTCCCCTGCTCACTTCCCCCCCCCGCTCGCTGCCGGGCTCAGGTCACACCCGACGACCACCCGCCCGAGATGTGTTCGCCGCTCATCGGGCGACGAGAACTGTACGTATCCAATGCTCCCTGGCCAGGCCCATCCCGATCCCAGGAGCTGTGTATACGCCCTCTTGGCCAAGCCAGGAGGGCGTGGCGTATACACCGCTGCTGGGTTTGGGATGGGCCTGGCCTGGGAGCAGTGGCTATGTGTACAGTGGGGACCCATGCCAAGAAACACCCTGCTGACCTCCAGGGTACCCAGGGTTTCTTGGGTTTCGATGTTTTTGCTGTGGGAAGCGTGACGTTCCCACACCAAAAATCCATTGACGTCCTGGGGTCTTCGGGTTGGGTTTCTTGTGGAAGGTTTCTTGTGGTCGGGCCCCTACTGTAGTTATCGTCGCCCTACGCTCATGAGCCCGGGGGGGGGGGCGGTGGCAGCATCCCCCCCCGCCGCCCCTCTCCGCTTAGGCGGCCGCCGGGTCCCTGCGCGTCCTCGCCAGCGCCGCGCGGGCCGCGAGCTGCGGCTCGCACGGGGAGGACCCCTGGGAGCCGAGAGGGGGCCTCGCCCTGGGGGTGGGTAACGGACGAGGAGGAGGAGGAGGAGGAGGAGGAGGAGGAGGAGGAGGAGGAGGAGGAGGAGGAGGAGGAGGAGGGA